TATATATATATATATTATAGAAGCGAATGTTGAGGAGCTTAGGGTCAACCAGACAATTGACTGGTTTACCCTTCTCCTCAACTTCTTCTATTTATATATTTTCTTTTTTATATACTATGTATTTATAAAAATAGTATTAAAAATTAACTTAAAATATTATAAATTTAATTACCTCTCGAAATTTCACATGTACTGCATCATTAGGACCAAGAGAGTACCATATATTAATTGAAAATCACATTAAGAGTTCTATAAACCACAATAATTAACAACTTAAAATATTTAAAAATTATATTAAAATGTGATTAACTCTCGAAATTTCACATGTACCACATAAATTGGCACAAAGGGAGTAACATATATTATTTGAAAATTACGTTAAGAGTACAATTAATCACAACTTAAAATATTTAAAAACATATTAAGAAATTGATTAAATCTCAAAATTTAACATGTGCCATATTAATTCGGACAGGGGAAATAACATATATTATTTAAAAATTACATACTTGAAATATTTTTAAAAAAATATATTAAAAATTTAATTAATTCTCAAAATTTCACATGTGCCACACAAATCACAATAATTAACAACTTAAAATATTTTTAAAAATATATTAAAATTTAATGCACTCTCGAAATATCACATGTGACAAAGATATTATTTGAAAAGTACGTTAAAAATATAATAAAAATAATAAACCATAATAATATTTAAAAAATTAATTGACTCTTCTAATTTTATCTGTATCACATAAATTAAAATAACTAAATTAATATATATTGGGTCTGGGCTTGCCCGGGTTTTTATATCTAGTATATATATATTATGTAACTATATACTTTGGTATGGTATTCGGTATTCGATATTTTGGTATATTATTTCAAAATATCAAATACCATACCGAATACCAAAAAAAAATTAAAATGTATACCATGTATCTTACCAAATACCATAATATCAACACCACGATATTAAAAAATTTAATATGGTATGGTAATTCGATATATATCATACCCTGCCCACCGTGCAACGGTCATCTTGAACTAATTTTTAACTAACAAGAGACTGATTAGTTTCTAAAAAGGATGATTAGAAATAATGGCATATAAATGTCTAGTTTAGCAACAATGAAAATGAAGTGAATTATTATTAGTTGAGATTATGAATCATCATTTTTGCATTCAAGTTTAAATTAATTGTCTTTCCTTCACATAAATATTAAAGACTTTAGTCGTTGTTTGGAGGGTAAAAGAGTTGAAGCTCGAATATGAGAACATATTTTAGCCTAACCACTCGTGCCCAATAAGAGTATTGATATTAATAAAGGTTTAGTTGGTCTAATTTGAGTGAGTTGCTCATATACAACCTTGGTCTAGGATATAATTTTAAATAATATCATTCAAGATAAAATTTTGAATAATTTCTTTTTATTATACGCTGCCCAAATTTATCCCAAATCGATATAGTAGTTTGAGTATGCATCTAAGAATACAAAATAGACAATCTACTACTTGGGCTTAGTCTTGGTCTTGACTCTTGGGATTGGGCTTGGGCATACAAGGAAGAATTAAGGGATTAATTGGAGAGCAACTTTCACATAAAACAAACATAAAAATCATATTTGTATGTTATAGCTATAGTTTGTATAATTGCGCTCCATAGCAAATTTTATGTTTGCTATGAAGCTTTTGATTTATATAATTCGCTAAAAACATCCAATTTTATACAAATTGTTCAGTTTTGTATAAATTCATTTATACATATTGTAATTTGTGTAATAAGATCTGTATTTGTATAATTATAAGTGTATAGGACGGAAATATATGTATTTATATTTGTATATACACTTTTCTACTCATTTTATACAAACACAAATGCATTTTATACCGAAATGTATAAAATGGCTAAATTGTATACCGAAAATGGCTAAATGTATACCGAATCAGATGGCAAAAAAAAGGGAATGTTTGCTGCGAATTACAATTAAAATAAACTATAGCTATATCATTTAATTTGAATTAATAGTTTGCTATTTCATATAATTTTCCCTTAATTGGACTAGTCATCCCCTTTTAGAATCTCCAATATATACAGTAATTGTCCCTCCGTCCCATTTTATATGTCATCCCTTTCTATAAATAGTTGGTTCATAATACTTGTCATTTCATAAAATCAATGCATAAATTACCATATTGTTCCTTTTTTACCCTTGTGAGTTATTCGCCTTGAAAATATACATTTGACCAACTTAGAAAAGATAAGTAAATGATTCATGTTCATTGGTTAAATTAATTAATCAAAATAAATTAATTCATATTCATTGATTGAAAACTTGAGTTCCAAAAAAATTAAATAAGGGTAGAAAGGTAAAGTTACATCATTTCTTAATGCAAGTGCAAAGTAAAAAGGTGACATATAAAATGGGACGGAGGGAGTAGTATCCAACAAAAACAAACAATTATGACCAATGCATGAATCAAATCTTCATGAAGGAAATGGATTACCATAAAACTTGAATATTTAATGTTTTTCTAGATGTATCCACGCATAGATACACTTAATATATCAGTGTATATTCAAAACGTCTTATTTGTTGAATGTCTGAGTACATATTTGATACAAGATACATATATTTATGCATTGGACATATCAAATTGATATTGAATATACTAGATGAAATTGTTATTGGATGCATGTAAATTGATATTGGATAATCAGATATACTCGTAGAAATTGATACAAGCTTATGCATATATAGACAAATACATACTTTTAAAATTGATATTCGATATACAAATACAATCATAGTGATACAAGCTTATGCATATATAGTTACATCCTTTCATATTATATTGGATACACTCATAGAAAAATAATTCTAGATATACAGATACATGAAATTGCGAAACATAAATACATTGTAAAATACAAATACAAAAAAGGATAGAATGAGAGTCAGAGAAAGGTGAGCGAGAGAGACAATGTATCTCAGACACATGCAAATCACACTTCGAATACAATGAATCCAAACCAAAACTCGAACGAAATATGTAATTTTTTGAAATTAATGCTTTATTGAGTAATTAACACTTATGCTAGCGTGCTTTAGGAAATTTGCTCTTTTTAAATGGACTTCGAAAAATTATCTCCCACTATTAAATCACGGATTAAGTTGGGTAGACCAATGGATCAGCTCATATTAACCGTCTTTTAAGTCTCTATACCACTACAAAATTACATAGTATATAAGCAGTAAATGTTTTTAAAGGTAGATTGTTTAACCTAAAGAGTAAAAAGGAAAATAACTTTGATTGTGAGAAGACAGACGTATTTATGATACAAGCAATTTTTTCAGCTGTCTTAAATTTGGATATTAAATAAGAAGCAGAAAATTAATTATATTTTTTTTTTTGTGTTTCTCTCTTGTAGTTTTCAATTTTCAACAAGGGGCTGTACTAGCCAATGAATAAAAACAAGAATTTGTTTTTTTCTTTTCTATTTTTTACTGACATAGAATTTTTCGTTAGGTGTGATAAACCACGACTCAATAAAATACTGGGATTTTGACAGAAATTTTATATTAATTTTTTCATGTTAAATCTGATATTATATAGTACTACTTACTTATATATTTCATTAAATTAATATTATTTTTGTCGGGCATAAAAGGGACATTTGAGTCATCTGAATACTTTTCTGATACAAAAAATCCAAATTACCTTGGATATGCTACTGACCCCTCGTGCCCTTCATTTTTTTAGAGTTTATAATTTTTATTTTTAAATTTTTTATTTTTTATTTTTCCTATAGAGGATAATTTAACTATTTTAATTAGATTAAGTTAAATATTATAGCATTGGGATCTTCACAAATGTGAAAGAAACCATTACTGTTCTTTAAAATTTTGTAACAACTATATTTTTTTTCTTTTTTAAGTCGAAGATGAGAAAAGTGAATATTGAAAAATTAATTCACCCCAATTTATAATTTGTCTAATGTTTCTTGTAGAGAATATTTCCTCTTTGCAAACTGCAGTGTTTAAATCAAACTTAGGACTTTTGACTTATAAGTTAAAAGTTGAAAGCTATAAGTCAATTTAAATATGGTTTTAGGATCGTTTGATATGTTGGACAAGTTGTATATATATTTTGATATGATGGACTAACTATATTTATATTAAATAGTTTTGAAATAAAATTTTAATACTTTTGCATTCTTTATTTGATCATTAGTTTTGGGATAAGTTATATTAAGACTAATAATTGTATTGAGATAAGTTACTCTAGTTAATTAAAAGTGGAATAATAGTCACTACAAGTAATTATATCGATTTTTTTCATCGTGATGTTATAGATGTTTCCACTTATTTTCCACAACTCAGTGAAGAAATGCACGATGGAAAACAGTTTCCAATTAAAATAGTGAAAATCGTCATAATTTTTCCATTTAAAAACATTACTTATTATTTTATTTTTATTTTTTTCACGACATATTCAATCAAAACAACCATGAAAATAGCCTAAATTAGTAGTGAGTATTTCACAATATAACGAAAATGACAAAAATACCATTAAGATCTCTCAAATCATTTTTCTAATAATAAAGTGGATGATATTTTTATTAACAAATAACCTACTCATAGAAATTATGCATGTAGAATTCTCACGTAAGTATGGAGAAATCAAGGATTGTATTGATGATTATAATGTTGATTTACAAGCTCCTTATATAGGAGAAGAGTCCTATTCTAGTTATACTAGAAATCCTACTACAACACAATTAATTACATGAGTAGTATTGTATTACAAGTCAAATACCTTATCCTAGTCAACTCCTACAATATTCAGTAGATTAGTCGTACATAACTTAGGATTTAGTAGTCTAGTCCTAGTATGACTCTAACTCTAACTCGTCAGCCTGCTTCAATGGACCTGTTCCTTCGACATGTTCCATCAGTCTTCAAGCTTCCTTCAACACTTCCCCTCAAGCTAGTGAGTGGAGGAACCGTAAATCTTAGCCTACTGCGAAAACTAAAGAAAACCTATTTTGTTAAGGCTTTGGTATGAATATCAGCTAGCTGATCCTTAGACTTCACAAACTGAGTAAGAAGTTGTCCCCTGACCACTTTCTCACAAACAAAATAATAGTCTATTTCAACATGTTTGGTTCTAGCATGCATACTGGATTAACTGTCATGTACAAGACACTCATATTATCACAATACAACATAGGAACAGATCAAAGGAACACTCTAAGGTCAAGAAGAAGATACAAAATTCAAGTCATTTCTGCGGCAGTGGAGGCTAGTGCTCTATACTCAGCTTCATCACTCGATCGGGCTATTGTGGTCTATTTCTTGGAGGTCCAAGAAATACAATTTGCACCTAGGTAGATGTTATAGCCTGTAGTTGATCTCCTAGTTGTGGTACAACCTCCCCAATCAGCATTTGAGTAGCCATACAACTTACATAGTGATTGTGAAATAATTCTGAGTCCAAAGTGTAGAGTACCTTTGATATACCTGAGAATCCTTTTTACCCCTCGAAAATGTTCAATGTTTGGGCTTTACATAAACTGGCTTGCTAGATGCATGAGTGATATCAGGTCTTGTGAGGGTCAAATATTGAATGCTCCCTACTATCATTTTGTACAAGGATGCATCTACAAGACTTCTCACAGCTTCATGCAAACCATGTTTTTGAGCCAAAGGAGTGGCTACAGCCTTTGCCAAAGTCATCTTTGTTTTGGCCAGCAGCTCAGCAACATACTTGCTTTGATTTAAGTGAATTCCACCTTCGAAATACTTCACCTCAATTCCTATAAAGAAGTGTAAAGAGCCAAGATCTTTCATAGCAAACTCCTTCCCAAGTTGTAGAACTAACTCTGAGACATGAGATGGATTACTTCATGTGACAATAATATCATCCACATATAACAAGAGAAATATTTTGCCTTTGTGAGTTTGCAAAGTAAAAAAGGGTCAGCCTTATTACAAATGAAACCAAAGTGCAAGAGATGCATGCTAAGCCTATCAAACCAGGATCTTGGTGTTTGTTAAAGATCATACAATGCCTTTTTAAGTAGACACACATGTTGAGGATACTAGGGATCAATAAAACCAGGAGGTTGACTCATGTACACCTCCTCTTGTAGGAAGCCATGGATAAAGACATTTTTGACATCTAGTTGTCTAACTTCCCACCTTGAACTGACAACAATGGATAGAACCACCTTAATTGTAACACCCCGACTTTTCAAAACTTCTAAATTAACTCGTATCGTCGTGGAAAGACAAGGAGGGTAAGTAATAAATTAAGAATGATGTGGTATGTCAGATTTTAAGTGTTCAAGGGTTGTATCTCAATTATTGAAGTTAGGTAAGTGGCAAAATAAATGTTGGCGAAAGTAATCGTAAGTTTATTTTTAAAGATTTCTCTAAAATTTGGGTCCAATGTCTTGGATATTTTCTCCCAATATATAAAGAGTTATAAGTCCTATCACCCATTAAATCAAAGGCTTACGAGTCTAGTTTGCAACGCACAAAATTCCGTATCCAACCGACATTGGAGTAAAAAGTTATGAGGGTTCTACTACGGACTGCCGGGGCAGAATTTGGGTCGGGTCAAAAATGTGGTATGTCGGCTTACTCAACGTTTTAAGCCATGAAAACATTTATTTTCACTTCCAAACTAGAAAGAAAGCTTAAGAGATGGTTCCTATGGAGTTCTTGCATGATGAAGGTTGGTTTTTGACGATTTCTACCATTAAAGGTTGCCCCCGTGCCTAGAAACGCGGTCTCTACACGTGGAAATCATTTTCCCCTCCTATTAGCTGCGTTTGGAGCTAGTTTTTGAAGATATAAATTTGTAGTTATTGGTGTTTCTTCAAGGTTTACACTTGGTTAACTAAGGTAATCATCTCGGAACCCTTTTATGGTTGTTTTTATGAATTTCTACGGACGTTTTGACAAGTTGGGGAAATATGGCAAATCTGTCGATTTAAGATTAATTATGAATTGTTTATAGGTGCATTTCAGTTGTGTATATATAATGATTGTGAAGCTTAGGACATAAGGAACAACTTTCGTGAAGGAACTACGGTCTTTCGAGCGTTCATTGGAAAGGTATGTTAAGGCTATTCCCTACTTACAACATGTTTCCTTAAAGCTGAGGAGCAATGTAATTGGGTTGTTGTCTTTGTTACACTTGTAGTCATTATTGTTGATTGTTGGCTGCTCGAGTTGATATAATCCTCCCTTGTCGAGATTCTTATTCAGTTAGTAGCGTCCCTATGTTGGACACGACTTAGAGGCTATTTGTATAGGTTGCTTATAACTAAATTGCTCACATTTAGCGATTGGATTGTTATTGTTGCCCTTGGGGCTATTGTGGTTAGCTGCAAGAATGTGATTTATGCCTAGAAGGGCTATGTTCGGCCTACAAGGCTATATGGATGCCTAAAAGAGCTATAAGTTGCCTACGGGGCTATATTGATGCTTAGAAGGGCTATGAGTTGCCTACAGGGCTATATTGACGCCTAAAAAGGCTATGTGTTTCCTACAGGGCTATGAGTTGTTTATAAGCTATATTGATACCTAGAAAGGCTATGAGTTGCCTACAGGGATATATTGACGCCTAAGAAGGCTATGTGCTTCCTACAGGGCCATGTTGTTGCCTAAGAGGGATATGAGTTGTCTATAAGCTATGTTGATACCTAAGAGAGTTATGTGTTAGCTACGGGGATATATTAATGCCTAAGAAGGCTATGTGACTGCCTACAGGGTTAGGGGACTACCGATAGGGGTACATAGGCTGATTAGCACCCTCCGGGCTTATGGGGGTCTGAGTAGGTGGATTTGTGTACTGTGTGTACCTGCCAAGCTTATGGGGGCTTGGTTAGGTTGTTGTTTTATTATTTTTGATAAGTTTAGATTTAGGAGCAGGTCAGTACACTTATCTTATCCTTGATTTATTTATCATATTATTCCAGTATATCAGGATACCTCCACACAGTCTATTGTCTTTCATACTCTGTACATTATTTCGTACTGACGGCCCATTGCCTGGGGGCGCTGCATTCATGCATGCAGGTCCTGACAGACGACCGAGTAGACCTCCTCAGCAGCAGGATTGACTTTTATCCGGTTGGCTAGCCCCTTTCCTCCTGAGCTGCCAGAGTTGGGAGGTTTATTACCTTTTATTGTATATATATTTATGGGTAGGCTGGGGCCCTGTCCCGCTAATCTTGACTACTCTTATAGGCTTGTAGACTAGTGTGTGGGGTGTATAGCTATGTTATGGCCATACTGGCCTATGTTATTGGTTTGCTGAAGCTTGTGAGTTGTTTGATGTATTGTATTGATATATACCTGCCTTTTGTTTTGGTATAGATATCATGGTGGCCTCGACGGTCCAATCAGGACTTCTGTGCTAGTTGACTATTTATTAATATGATCTCCTAGGAGTAGCTGTTTCTTTTATAGATTAGTTGACAGGGGCCTTGCCGGCCGAGGGTTAGTTTTAAGCCGAGATATATTTGTTTGTTTTCTTGATTGTGTATGATTGCCATGCGCTAGTAGCAAATGGTTCAGCGGGGTCGGCTCGGGCCTAAGTTTTGGCATTAGGAGCCAGTTGCGCCCCTCGAGTTTGGGGAGTGACACCAATAGTTGTAACTTTAACCACAAGACTAAATGTTTCTTCAAAATCTATCTCTTCAAATTGCGAGAATCCCCTTGCCACAAGTCTGGCCTTGTATCTATCTACTGTCCCATCATCTTTTAATTTTGTCTTGAACACCCATTTTGAGCCAACCAAGTTAATACCAGGAGATTTGGGCACCAAAACCCATGTCTTGTTAGTATGTAAAACATCAATTTCTTCATGCATTGTTGCAAGCCACTGAGGTGATCTTAGTGCTTCCTTAGTAGTATTTGGTTCTCTCACAATTATTGTGCTGCTGCGAGCAACAAGTGACAAGTGATGTTCCTTCGCCTTGTGCCTGGTGATCATATGATGCCCTTGTGGTGCATGGAGTACCTTAACTGGTACATCAATCAAGGTAGTTGACTAGAGTGTAGCATTGTCAGGTTGATGATCAACTGGTACATCAACTAAAGTGGTTGTTGGATGATGATCATTGGTTGGACCTGTAAGAGCAACTTGTTCCTCACTATTACTGGCAGATTCAAAATCTTTAGCTGGAGTTTCAATACTACTGTATGGATCATCACCTTCAACCTGTTCCTCAGCATTTGATCCTGCGCCTGAGAGGTCAATAGTACTCACATCACTAAGGAGTATATGAGTTGTAGCAGCATTATCACTATTAATGTATGGACTAGCAACTTGTACTTCCCCTGAATCAGATTATCTTGTGCTAGCAGTTTAGAGAAAGATTCAACAAAAGTAGCAAGGTGAGGTGAGACATCAATGTTAATATGAGATTGCTTTGGAGACACATAGGGTAATGTGTTTTCATCAAACACAATATGTCTGGATATGTAAACTCTCCTTGTAGAGGGATGATAGCATCTATGTCCTTTGTGTAAGTTGTTGTACCCTATGAACACACAAGGGTAGGTCTTTGGACTGAACTTATTGCTACCCTTGATATATAAAAACATCTACACCTAAACATTTTTAGGCTACTGTAATTAGGTTGTTCCCCTTACAACTTAACAAATTAAGTCACCATCTTTAGGACTGATGAAGGCAGTCTATTGATAAGGAATACTGCAGTGACGAAAGCCTCAACCTATAGAAACAAAGGTAGGTTAGTTTAGTAGTAGAGTTAAGCCAGTCTCCACAATATGTCTATGTTTTCTATCTGCAACTCCATTTTGTTCAGGTGTGTTAGGACATGAAATATGTCTCACAATGCCATAATCTTCCAACTGCTTAATGAAGTCTGTTTGGATAAACTCACCACCTCCATCACACTGAAAAATCTTAATCTCTTTAGAAAATTGTTTTACCACCTTTGTCTGAAATTTTAGAAAGACCTCAAAGAATTTAGATTTCTTTTTCAGTGGATAAATCCATGTATATCTTGTGTGATCATCAACAAAAACGACATAATATTTCATATGTTAGGAAGATTCGACAGGAGCAGGTCCCCATAAGTCACAATGAATTTTCAATAAAGGCTCTTTCTCAAAAAAATTTCTCAAACCAAAAGGAAGTTTACAACTCTTTCCCAACTGACAACTAGAACAAACAATAGACATTTTATTCCAACTACTAATACTGATGCAACTATTACTACTCAAAACTTTTAAAGACTTCAAACTAGGGTGTCCTAATCTAGTATGCCACATGTTGTTTGACGTGTTCCAATCGTGTGCAGCAGTTAAAACATAGAGATTGTTATCTTTCAAAGCATAGAGTCCATTCCTTTTAGATCCTTTGGCCAGCAGTGTCCTTCTCCTCTTGTCCTTTACAACAAAGTTAGTTTCATCAAATTCAAGAGTACAACAATTATCCTTTGCAAGCTTACTAACTAAGAGAAAATTTTATTGATCTTAGGAACTACAAGAACTTCTTTTAATTTTAGACCTGTTTCAGATTTGTTCTCAACATGTGTTATGTCTAACTTTGATCCATTTCCAACAATTATTTGATCTGGTCCATTGTAGTGTTTAAGATCAGTTAGGATACCTAAGTTATGTGTCATATGGCTACTTGCTCCTGAGTCCACATATAAGGTGTCATCAGTAGTGTTTTGTAGATTAGTAGCAGCCAATGCCTATGGTAGCTCATCTGTGGCTTGGTAAGAGTAATCCCGCTTGTAAAAACACTTAAGAGCAGTATGGTTATTCCTACCACAAATTTTACACGCATCAGAATTGTTCCCCTCATGACTTCCACTTGAAGGACTGTTCTGAGGACCTGGTCTGTTTCTGCTGTTATAAGAACATATTCCTTGTCCAACAGGCTTGAAGCCTCTTCCTCTGGAATTGAAGTTATTGTTTCCTCTTCTTTGAGAGTAGTTTCCTCTTCCCCTGCCCCTTTGGGCAGATAATGCCATGCTATGGTTTTGTTGTGGCACGTCTTCTTCATCCTCCCTCATATAAAAAATCCTTGAGAGCATTAACAAATTGATTAAGAGTAGGATATGGTGCCTTACCTAGCATGACAGTCCTGAAGGTCTTGTACTTAGGACCTAGACCTCAAGCAAAATTAATCAATTTGCTATCTTCACCTACAGGCTTATGAATGGATGCAAGGCCATCACATATGCCTTTGAATTCCTTAATGTATTCATCAATTGTTTTGGTTCCTAGCTTCACACTTTGCAGTTGTTGCTTGAGCTGGAACTCCTTATCTTTTGTTGCTTGAAGATAAGCTTCTTCCAAGCATTCCCACATCTCTTTGGCAGTTGAACAACCTACGATCAGGTACATTCTTTCTTTTGTCAATGTGCCTGCGATCTAGCTCCTTAGTAACACATCCTTCTCCTCCCAGTCATCAACAATGTTGTTGTCTTTTGCACCCTTCTCGCCTGCTACAATTTTCTCAGTAATCTGTCCAGTGGAATAGGTCACTTTAGGTGGTTCTGTGATGAGGTAGGTTAATCTCATCACTTGAATCAACTGAGTCATTTGTGTCCTCCACATAAGATAGTTTGTTGGCTTAAGTTTAATGGAGCAGGACGAAAGAAGATGATGAAGTGAAGAGGTCGAAAGGGTGTTGGTAGAAGGGGCCATCGCGGTTTGATAATTTGGATGTTTTTTATTTTGATCTAATACATTAAAGAGCGGAAAAGTTTCATTGCTCTGATACCATGTAGAATTCTCCCGTAAGTATGGAGAAATCAAGGATTGTATTGATGATTATAATGTTGAGTTACAAGCTCCTTATATAGGAGAAGAGTCTTATTCTAGTTATACTAGGAATCCTACTACAACACAATTAATTACATGAGTAGTATTGTATTACAAGTCAAATACTTTATCCTAGTCGACTCCTACAATATTCAGTAGCTTAGTCGTACATAACTTAGGATTTAGTAGTCTAGTCCTAGTATGACTCTAACTCTAACTCATCAGCCTGCTTCGATGGACCTGTTACTTCGACATGTTCCATCAGTCTTCAAGCTTCCTTCAACAATGCATTGCATGTTATTTTTAATATAACAAATCATTTATTATAAAAAAAAATTATTAAAATAACTAATTACAATATAACTTGTATTCGAATCAAACACCCCTCATGTGATACTAAGTAATTTTACAACTGTTTTCCAACATAACTTAGGCAACACACTGTTGTATGATATTCAACAATTTATTTTTTATTTTAAAATAATCAAGTTATTCAAAAAGTTAAGTTTTTATTTAATATATAATTCAAATATAAATTTCTAACTCTTACCTAAAAGTATTAGTTGTAATTATTTTTAATTCTAATAATGAAATTCTTACATTGAGAGCAATAAAATATGTGGAAAATCTCATCATTTTGAATCAAACATCATGACGCAAATAGTCCTCATTTTCCTTGAATTATGACATTGCCTTATAACATATAGTACACAAATCGTACTATTAAATCTAGGCTTCAACTCATGGTTTGATTTTTTGCATCATTTATGTCTCCACAAAGAACATCAATATACATTTGACAAGAAATTGTTCGAATGGTAAAAATCATCAATCTTCAATCTAAGAATTGTGGGTTCGAATCACCAAATAAAATAAATGTGATAATTTTGAAATAGGAATTAAAAAACGGTAAAGATACACTAGTATAATATCCAAAATAAGTGATCTAAATGTTTTTGTATGTGAAATGAGACGACTAAAAAAATACATAGACGTACGTAAACTCATCTAGTGTTTTTTTATTTATTAGTTTTTCTTTTAAATTGCAATCACATATATCGATTATTCTAGGCAAATCGTGATATTCGAAATTGGAAATTGAAAGGAAAAGCAAAGGTTCAAAGTCCACTATTGAAGCGAGCCCCTACTGATAGTAATACCTCGATCTCATCGACAAAAGCTAACATTTTCAATTGAAATATTAGAGAAACATGCGGATCAATTCTATTTTTACTTTGCATATAGTGATATTTACAATATACAAAGTGAAGTATTAACATAAGAAACTAAGACCAAACGGATGGTGCATGAAATGAAAAAGTAGCAAATTGATCATTCATTATTATAATTTATATATTTGTAATAATTGACATAGTAAGAAATTATTTATACACATGAAATGATCTCATGAATATTATTTGCTGTGGCATAGGGAGCACTGAAAATAATTTAAACTTCAACAACCAGTGGACCACAATTTAGTTTGATCATTATAAATGAATATTCTTTTTCACAAACATATATATAGTATATAGTTTCACTTTACCAATGAGATAAAAGGATTAATTCGTCCAACTTGATCATTTGTATATATAAGGTAATAATTTCCTTATATGTAATATAAGGTGCAGCGCCTTTTGATTCGAATCTTGAATATGAAGAAAATCATATTGGGAGCGCTACCCTTAAATGAGTTCTACCATATGCATCGAATTCAATCAGAGCTCCAATACAGACACAAAACACTAAACGAAAAAAAAAAAAAAAACATAAGTCCCAATATTTTTGATATATAGTATACAAATTCACGTCAAATTTACTAAAAATCTTAAAACTATTAAATTGTGAATCTATTTTAATACTTAAATTTATATATTAAAATTTTGTAAATCGGTTTTAAATTAAAATTTTGAATGGATGCCGTCTTTACGAGCCACTGCACCAAGTAAGGGCATTCAAAATCAAACCAAAATTGGTAACTGTAAAAATGTTATTAATCTATCGATAGTTTGTTATCGGTCTTATAAAAATTTCAATAACGATTTGGGATTTTTTTTATCGAGTTATCAGTTCTTTATGCTTGAATTTTTCTTAAGGGGTTAAGCAATAATTCGATAAAAAATTACAATTATCCTTCGATATATAAAATCTTTCACTTACGGTTTAGTTTAATATACTTAACTTTTC